TCTTTATTACTTCCCTAAATTGAAAGCACTTTCGGGCAGAGAAAAGGTGATGGATTTGAAAATTTCCAACAAAGAGCTCACGCGGTGATAGAAACATTGCTATTTGGGGCTGTACAAACCGTTAAAGCTGCTTCCGACATTTTCTATTGACTGAAAAACATTGTTGATATTTCTCAGTGAAATCTTGGACAACTGTCAAGTTTGCTTTTTGGTGATCAGTCCTCCTTTTGAAATAGGAAATCCTTCGGGCAGTTCTTTTCTTGTCAGTGAAATGTGGGTGGGAAATCATTTGGGATTCCGGATCGAAGATTTCAACGTTAAAATTATTTTAATTTCATTTGAGTTGTAGAGCTTTACCCCACAGACAGCAAGTAAAACAAAAAGGTGATAACATCAGTAATGTATTAAATGGTGCGCAGGTTGCAGAGGCCATTAGATTTCATTCAGTTCCGTCTGTAAAGCAACACTAAAAAACAAGGACGGCTTCAATTGATTTAGAATTGATAAGATTCTTCACGTTGAGTGATGTTCACGATACATATTGAACTGAGTAGTGTGTTGGTAAGTGTATCTGATTTAATTTTTTCTTTTTTTTCCTTCAAAACACGAAACTCCTGATCAAATATAGGATAAAGTAAGTACATGTCATTGACAAGAAAGAAAATTAAGTAGATTATGAATATTCTCAAACTAACCTTACAACACTTTCGTAAAGAAGGTGTTGTAAAACATGAAATAATTCAAGAAATACTTGTTACAATTCGAATCCGTGAAGCCTCTAAAAGACCACTGGTAATACTTTTCTACCTAATCCAACACACGCATTGCTACCGATGTCTACACATATGCCCTAACGATCATGTCAAATAAGTATACCATGAAGATTTGGGTCCGGTATAAAATATATATTTTCTTACTTTTTCAATGCGTCGACTTAATGAGTTTGCATGATTTCAGAAAGAACTGTTCAGTAAAAGGTCAGGGCAGAAAGGGAGATATATTTTCAAGAAAAGATGAATACACAATGATACTATTGAGGGAAGCACTGATTCAAATGAAAATAATGCTGTAATCTAAGTTGTTCATTGAAAGTGATGAAAGTGATGCATCCCTGGTTGAAGAAATATAATTTCAAAATACTTTTTGTTTTTCGTTTCAGTTAAAGAAACTAGAATTTAAGAACGAATAATCTACACACTCCTAAATATATATTAGGTATATGACACAGTGATTTGTTGACTGCTGTGATGTCTATTTGCATTAATTGCTCACAGATGCCTCTTTGCCCATAAAAATCTTACAGCTTCCACTTCTAACAACTGAGACGGCAGAAAATTTATTGACTACGCCACCAAGGGAAGGACATGCGGATATTCTAGATTTATTATGAAGTTTCGTATCCTAAAACGCCGGAGGGAAATTTCGAATTCCTTTTATTTACGCTGTCAATTGAGATTTTACTATTCAAACCGAGATTTCTAGAAAGACGTTCCTATTCTTGTAATTGTGGGCTAAAGTATACAAGTCTTTTAAGTGATTGAATGGGTTTGTCAGACAGACATAAAAATAATGAAAATTTACAAAAAGTAATAAACTCTTGAGAGAATATAGGCACCAGATTTGACAGCTCTATTCGAGAAGCATCAGAAACTATCTTATTCACTTGTAAATTTTTGTACATGTGTGGTATGGCAATTGAATTTTCGTAACTGTGTCGATCGATTGTTTTCAAGTGAGACATCACTAAGCTAGTCGGCCGGAACTCCGTCAACAACAATCACCTTGCTATGGAATTGCTGTATAAAAGCGCAAATATTTGAAAAGAATTCGAGCAAGGTAAGATACCGCATTTTTAACAAATGTCATCATGATTTTGATCTAAAGCAGAATACTGCGAACAATTTGACCTGCAGCTGCCGGTTGCCTACAAAATTAGATAATTTTCAGTGGTGTAGAATGAGCTAAGGAAAGAAAAAAAATCAATCTTCTAGAAAACCAGAAACATTCCCTCCTGTAAGGGCTTGAAGCTAAGAATCCCCACTGAAAGAAATATTTGCAAATTAAATCTAACATAGGACAAACCAGGAAGTTTTGAAATCAACATAAAGGACAGCGGCTTAGATTTCTCGATTTTATAAAAGGTTTGTTTCAAATGTCTGTGAGTTAGTTAGAGCGGAGTGACAGTTGGATGTTAGAATGTGCAAGATTCCTTGGTCAAAGAAATTTTTTTCCTTTCCCAATGGCCTTATAAATTTTCTGTTTCTATTTCTTCGGTGTAATCTTGTCGGATAAAAACTTCGGTGTAATCTTCTCGGATCAAAACTTTCGCTAAATTATCTACAATTTTATGAGAGATACGACAATAGTCAATCTTGTAGCTTTGATGCAAGACAGAGAAAATCACAATCTGATACATAGCTGTGTACAAGATAAACCCGGTTACCTTCAAAGGTTTTTTACAAATTATAGAAATGATGGGGGTTCAGCAAATCGAAATTTGGGTTCGAAAGAAAAAAATAAAGTTTTCATTTCAATCTTCACTTTTCCTAGCATGACGTCCGATGAAAGTAGAATATTTTCAAATTTATGGAAGATAAAGAAAAATAGGCTGCTTATCCCTTTTGCTGTAAGCCTGAGCAATCAAGTTATTATTCTAGGGTTTTAATCTCTAACTCTATTGTTAATAAAATTATTTTCTCAAAATATCGCCTCTCAAGGAGGAGCGAAAATTAAATGAAACGCGCATAGCAGCCAAATGTTGGAAAAGTCCTTCAGTATGAATTGATTTCGACTTTTTTAAGTACTTGTTGTCAGTACTGCGATGTGTCTTTCAAAGCTTTTTTTTGTTGTTGTTCGTTGCCTGGAAGACCATCTATAAAAGAATATTAGGTAGAAAATTTTCTCTGATGATTATAGAGATGCGCCTGCTCTGATTAGTGAAGGATTACGTCATATCTCGCGGTGATCACGCTAGGTAATTACAGCAGGTAGCACTAAATTAAAAATAGCTGCTCCGTGTTTTGTCAATGTTTCTGAGGAAATGATCCACGCGATAGTGGAAAATTCAATTACGAAGAGTACAAAATGGCAGAATACTTTTCAAAAGTAAGAAATGAAGTTTTTGATGACTGATAAAGCTGTTTATGTTGATACGAGCAATCAACACAATTGTAACAAGATATGTGCGATGCTTTCTTTATTTAAAGAATTTACAACAGAATTCGAAACACCCGGGCAATTGTACCAAAACAGTTATTCGCCTCAGGCTCAGTGAACATTGTTGGATAATGCCCTCGACTTCGTCTCGGTGATTATTCAATTAACAATGTTCACTCGCCTTCGGGGATAATTTTCAACTACTTGATATAACAAATGGAAAAGCCTCTATTGAGCAATGATCTGTTGTAAAGCACACAAGACGCGGTCAGAGGATGGATCAGTGAGTGTTTTCTCCCATAATCTAGAAGATTTTGCCACTTTCCGTAAGAGCTTGTTCAATAGAGAAGAGCAAAGACCTAGTTGGTCAGTGAAAAAATTAGAACTCATTGTAGGCCGAACAAACAAGATTCTTAGAAAACAAAATGAAAAAAAGCTACTGATAAAGCTAAGCAAAATGTTTTGAAACACCAAACCGGCCTGTACCCGTACGGCATGTAATAAAGTTATTCGAATGATGCTTACCAAAAACCAGCATAGATTAAGCTTTAACGTGTTTCTGTGCTCTGATAACGAACGGTGAATATTTCAAACAATCAGAGTACAAGTTCCATTGAAAGTTTTAAAGGATATTTAGAAAGTTAAGTAATAACTTTATCTGCGTTCTTGGGGAGGGGAGGAAGGGCGGATCAAAATTTATGTAGCTGGAACTGATACGAATATCTGAAGTTTTCAAAAGTTATGCGCTACTGATGAAATGCTCTAAAGAAACCATGAGTTCTTGATAATCATTCCATACCAGCAAAGATCCAATTTAAACTCCTGAATCTTCGAATGCTCAAGATTAAATGATAAACTCATATATTCTTCACAGCTTCCTCGACCACAATTTTAATACCGTCCGAGTTTAATGAGGAAATTTGAAGTAACTCTATTTTCAACACAAATTATAATCCCACCACCTCAAACACATTATCCGAAAAGTTTATTTCAGAGATCTTCCGCCTGTGGACGATAAATGCTTGGTAGACCATAAAATTTTTACATTTTGGATATCCTTGGCGCCACATGTCAACTGGTGAACTAGTGAGGCAACATCCTTCAAGCTCGGCATCTCTGCAATATTCTTTTCTCTATTATGAAGGAAGTTAAGATTAATATTAAAGAAAGAGATGCTATTTTTGCCCTTGCTATTTCTATCATGACCCAAGGGAGTGTTCAGGAAGCTCTTCAAAGGTGAACGTGTCAATCTCTGGGATTTTTCCCTTCTTTTTCTGTTTCTCTCCTCTATTTCCTGTTTACTGTTGAGAAATATACATATGCGAAGTTCCATTCCCTTTTTATCACTACCTAAACTGATTTTTAAAGTTCTTTTGGTGATGTACTCGATATCGCCTTGACATAACTGAAAGTACCTTGAATGTACAGTCTAAAATAGATTTATTCCTCTAATTTTTTTTTGTTTGTTTTATTACTCATGCCAAATATTTCATTATGAGGACTCAGTGAGAAATTGATAAAACGATGTGAATTAAAATATATATATATATATATATATCTTTTAAAGCTGCTGATAGCCATCTCAACTTACCCGTACGTGATACTTAGATATAAACATTTGCCATATCTACGTAAAACCCAAGGCTAAGCAACACGTCAATGCACACAACATGCTAAGACAGGAATTTGAATTGAATAACTTTATTCAAGGCCTTAACGGGCGCGGTGTCTTTGAAGTGATATCAATTACTACTATTATTGTTTCCCTGTCGTGTGAATTACGCCATGCCTCATACAGGAAACGTAAAATTAGAGTAGATTCTTAACCGAAGAAGAGAAAGAAGCAGAAAAAAATTGGATAAGGGTAGACCAAAATTCTAGCTTATTCCCAAGGTTTCACTTACAGAGGCCATTACGTCATTTACTTCACGCGCTTTATTTTTAGATAAAGAGTAATAAGCCATATCCCACGTGACGCGTCATACTTTGTTTACGCGTCGACTTTGTTTATCAGACTAACTTGATTTTCATTTACAGTTTTTTTATCCTTGGGCCGTTAAAGACTCCACATATGAATGTTTAATTCAAGTAGATTTCTCATGAGAATCGTGACATGTCGTCACTGACCGAAATTTTGGTAAGTAAGTGACTCACATTGTTTCAGGAAGCCCAGGGTTCTTTTGATTAAATAGACTTGAATATATGCACGTTCGGCAAGGATCGACTGCCTCTGAATGAAGCTTTGTTGATCAAATTTTCAAGATTTCAAGGTAAACGAGAATAAGATTTGTTGTTTATTTGGTGAGTTTTATTGTGTTTTCCTTTTTACACTTTTACGCGAAGATGTTGTTAAACCTAAAGAATATTCAACTCGATCGCATGAAGTAACTAGAAGCTTTTTCGTAACTAGAAGCTTATTTCGCTTTTGCGGAAGTACTATGAATAACTTAACTAAAGCTAACCACATTCAGTGAATTTCAAGTACGCAGCGTAGCTGACATTTCTACAAAGTGATGAAATTTTCTTCAAGAAATCATCGAAAGATCAAACGCTTAAATCATTCAATCTCTTAAATCAGATTTAATCTAATAGTGTGGATGACAATGTAAACCATTTGGCCGTGGTAAACAAATTAATATTATAACAACTTGATCTTTTCTTTATCAGGTTATCTAGCTGCAAAAATTGTGTAATGCATTGAACACTGGTTTTGTTTACATAATGTGAGAATCAACTGGACAATGACATCTAAATATCTTTTAAATCTCGTTAAAGAATTTCACCCTCTGTTTGACAGTTCTCAGTTCTGCTGCTTCAAAGTCCATGATATCACGGCCAATCAGTAGAGTAATTTTATCCGTCATAATTGTTTGGAAGAAATTTAGTAAAAAAGAGAGAAGCGAAAAGGGCCCATGTTATTCCGGCTGCTTTTATGAATTACCTGAGGATAGAAATTACCTAAACATAGGCATAAAAATGCAAGATTATGAATTTCAACATATTCGAGAATTTTCCCCCACTAATCCGTGGGGTCAAAATGGATTAGGAGAACGGGAAATATTGATATCATTCTTAAGATATCAGAGATCAAAATATAACCTTATGTTTATCTATGTATTACATTTTTGTTACAGTGAGTGAGAGCATTTTTCAATTGCCAAACTATCTTGTGTCTCTGAGAAGTCTATTCGCCATCTTGTATACAAGAGCAGCTTTCAGACGCCAGGCTGGTGTTGTTTTAATCATGGAAACAACACTTGCGCCGATGCATTGGTGGACAACGACAGAAAAATATATTCTAGTAACCACGCTAGGGGTAATTATCGTATTTGGAGTGTGTGGAAATGTACTTGTCGTAATCGCAATTATTCGATTCAAACGTCTTCGGCGAGCAGTGAACAGCTATTTGATCCTAAATCTCGCGGTAAGCGATTTTCTCACGGCGTCCATTTTGATGCCATTTCAATTAGCTACCGTGTTGGATCTCAACATTATTGTGGACAATGGATTACTCTGCAAAGTTGGCGGAATATTGTCGTATCCGTTCTACATCTGCTCAACTATAACGCTTGTCATGTTAGCAATTGAGAGATATATTGCGGTGAGCGACCCATTGAGATACATCTCTCGCGTGACAACTCGAACAATCACCATTATGATCGTGTACTGCTGGACGCAAGGAGTCGTTTTCGTTGTGCTGGTTTCGTTTTCGGCTAATATCGAGTTTTCTACACAAAGTTTAGACTGTGGTGTGGCGTGGGAGGGAACTCCATTATGGCTCAGTATTTTGGTTTTACTGTTTAACATTGTGCTGCCATTTTTCCTCCTACTTATTATGAGTTTGCGTGTTCTAATCATAGCAATACGGCAGAAAAAGTGGATAGACACGGAAAGATTTAGTATTGACCGAACAAGAAGGAAAAAGAGTGTTTTTACAGGCAAGTACTCTAATTTTTATTACCATATTCATTACTAAGTTCACCTATTAATGATTCTCCTGAGGCAAATGTTTGTGCTCATTTTGTGCTCTGATTTCTCGTTTGTTTTGTTCTCATCAATCAGCAGTCGCCGCCGGTTTGACCGGAGAACTGCCTGTATTCAATCAAACGAAGTGTTTGCCTGTTTTCGAAAAAAAAAGAAAAAAATTCTCTCATAGAGCCAAGAAACCGTAAACAAACATGTTTCGCTCTGACATGGGGCTAACACTCGAAATGTCAGCTTTGTAGAAACTCTATAAACAGGCCAATTTGCTTTATCAACTCGATAGATAAAGCCCCGAAATAATCGTGTACCTACGTTGCTACCGGAAAGTGAGAGATCTCGTTACGTTCTCATGCTTCACAAATTGCTAAGTTCCGGTGCAGTGATCTAGAAACTACGAAAAGTGTTTTCAGAAAGAAGGCTTTCTATTTGTGCTGATACAAGAAAGGTTTTGAATTATTTGATAGAAAAATTAAATTTATGAAGCGTGCTGTGGAATGATAAAAAATGATAAATTCATGCATAAGAAATAAAGATGAAGAAAATAAATCAGTCATTAGGACATGTAAAATAACTTAGGAAGTATATACCCACATGATTACGCAATCATATTTACATTTATCTCCTGTAATCACAGGCTTACCATCTTAAATATCCGTGGTTTCGGGTTTCTATGGTAATGGGTCCTGTGGCATTTACATGGCCGTTATAAATGTAGTTCAAGTATATTGCCTCTAGAATCTTTCGCTAGCAGTCAGTCTTCAAAAAAAATCAGCTCCGAATAAAGCTTAATAGTTCATTACTTTTTTTCTGCCAAAAAGCTTCAAAATCACTCGTTTGGGGCTTTCAAAGTTCGGCGGTTAATTCGGCTCGCTCTCCATAGTTTAAAAATGCGACAAAGCAGGCAGCTTAGGCATCCAGATCGCACACCACCTCTTACACGAGACAAAAATGTTTTACCTTCTAGGTCTTATTTTCCCACCGAAATTCAACAGGCTACAAAAGGATTATGGTTCTTTTGATTA